TGCAAGTCGCATGCGGCTATTTGTCCAGGCATATTTGATCTTCCTAGGTGAAGTCCTGCTCAAACTTACTGAGGAAGTACATGTTCCTCAGTCTTTGTATCTCTTAATGTGGTTCCAGCATGATGGGCGCTCCCCGACGCTACTACAGTGACGTCCGCGAACACCTAAACGTTATATTTGGACAACATGAGATAGGTCATGGTCTTCAGTTTACTGGCCTGCTTGATCGCCGACTTATCGTCTCTGAACTTCTTCTTCTGGGATCAAATGAAGGCATTGTTGTGTACCATCTCTGTTGATTCAGTTGAAGATCTTGTCGCTTGCATCTTTGCAGCTGCCGAAGAGATACGAGATACACTAGGACTCTTCTAAAACAATAGGCATTCCAAGCGGCGCCATTGCGAAGCCTGTGGGACTGCTTCGACGTCAATTCAAATACCTTCTATAGCATGCAGCGTTTTGCTAATGTAAAATTTGTCATAAAACGAATTCTGTTACATTAGTGTGTTTCTGTTCTTTTTCTTTGCTTCTTTTATTCGTAGCTCGAGTAGAAGGCATTTCGTACCCCGCAATGCTATGTGATTCCGAATCACTTTTGTGCCCCCTATATCTCATATTAGTTAGTCGCTCTGGTGATATATATATATATTATAAAAGACAAAAAAAGTTGTGTAAGACATCTTACTAAGAAAACTAAACGCTGATATTGTGAACTGAGAAAAGACTGAAAAACATTAATTGCAGTACTAAGCACTATATCAGGAATCCGAAACATAAGCTGGCTTTAAAATGTTTGTGGTTTTGCTATTGAATTTTATGTGGCGTATGTGCGAAAAAAAGCGATATTCTACCATGAAAACAAATTTGTGTTAGCTTGAGTGACTCCAAGAGCATTATTGATAAACTGCGGACTTAGCGAGAACATAAAAACCGTAACAAACTCTCTGGTGTGACGTTAAAATCTGAATTTCATTTCAGATTCTTTGTTACTATTATTTTTTAAATTCTAATGTTGTATTAAACTTTGATAAATACTAACATACAGCTTTCATTAATGTTAATGTACAGTCATTAAAAAGAAAGGGGTAACTGTGCAATATCACACATTCTAGTATGCCGATCTACGAAATTGAGCTTGTGTTTTTTCATGTCTCGAAAGCGCAACTTAAGATATATATTAGATTTACAACGTTGTTAAAACATACGTATTTTGATACAAAATCGGACATTTATGAAATGGAATGCCGTTTTTTTCCGTATTTTGATTCTATTCTTCGAACTGTGACAATACGCCAAATTTTCCTAAAAATTGTAGAAATATTTTTTTAATTATTTTTATTAGTTAATAATATCTCTCTTAAAAAAGTGAACTTACTTGTTTTTCATAATCCAAAATTTAGGTTTAATCCATGTAAAATTCATACATTTTTTAAATTACGTATTATAAATCTTTCAAAAAATATTTTGAATTATGATCTATAACATTTTTACTATTATCTTAAAGTAGTTGTATTTTGAGGCATACGTGCTAAAAGTAGAGTTTTTTTCTTCAAAATTTCTGAAAATATGCATCAATTTACGTATTGGTGCGTCTGAAATTTGCCATATTTGTTATAAGCGATAATAACGCCAAATGTGGTTTACACACTTTGTTACAATCTTCAACGAATTTCAACAGTTTTGCAGCAGTTGAACCTTAAATTTGCATATAAACTTTTATCGAAGATTATTTAAGCACTTTCTTTTTATTCTCAGTTTCATTATTAATGCTTAATAAATAGTTATTAATAATAGACGAAATATTTTAATTTATGAAGAATGATAATAAAAAGCTTAAAGCTTTTTTTTTTTTCGTTTTTAGTAAAAGTAAATTTTTACCTTCACCATTTTATCGTCAGCTGTTCTGCTTAACATAATTTTATATGCAACAAAATTTATTTGCACACTTCAAACAATGCATAAAAATGCTGTAAATAAAACAAGTTGTTTTCTACTGCAGAAATGTAATGCTATTAACAGATATAAAATTTACTTGGATTTAATTTTTTTTCTTCTCTGTGTGTCGTAAATGAAACACATAAAAATAATTGTGAAGATGTTTAATACCCAAATACCGGATGTTTAATACATCGTTGCAAACTAGGTTCAATGATTCATGACAATGGTATTTACCAACAGGGGAATGCACCATGTAATAAGAGTCGAATCTTTAGTGAGTGGTTCGAGGAACATTCCAGTGAATTAAGTCATGTCTTGGCCTCAAAATTCACCTGAGATTAATCCAATAGAGCATTTGTGGTCTCACTTGGAAAACCAAATTCTTGCTGCCATGCTACTCCTTCGAAATGTGCGACAATTGCAGGTTCATTTGTTGAACGCTTGGTACCAAATACCTCAGATTACCCACCAGCATCTTATGGAGTCAATGCCACCCCGGGTGCTGTCAGATTTGAGGGCTAAAGGTGGTCCTACATGTTATTAACAGGGTGGTCATAATGTAATGGCCATTCGGTGTATATTGAGTGGCTTTTCCCAACAGTTTTGGCTTATTAAAACTTGATATATTTGGAATGATTCTTCGTTTATTCTCTTAAAAGTGAAAATCTTACGCACGATATAATTATATCATATAGAATAGTTTCAAATTAAGCATTTAATAAAATAAACTAAGCTTTGAGAATTTGAAAGTTTTGGTCATATCCCATCTGTTAATAAAAACATATGTAAACCTCTTAAAAAGAATGTTTTGAATAACTAGTTTTTCCTCATACCATTACAGATATTTAAAAAGTATACTGTTTAAGATGCCAGTTGCTGTTCTTAAAATTTGTCCAGATTGTACGATTTGAAAAACAAATTGTCTACATTGTCTAAACTGTCCAAATTGTAGGACTTGTTCCCGACATTAAGATCGGAAAATAAGTGGAAAGTGAACAGAATAAACTCTGCATTTTATTGACTAGAAAAGTTTGGGAAATGCCTTATTCCTCTAATCATTTGAAAGGCCATCAGCGGCCGAGCTCCAAAATCGCTGAACACTGTTAGATCTGACTTGGATTAAGTTCCAGCCGAACGGGCTGGTTGCATGGGCGTTTTCGTGGTTTTCCCCATGTGTAACGTGTCAGTAACCAGTTTCCTTTAGAAAATCCTCCACGAAAGCATCCCCTCCTTTAGGCGCATAACCCTAGTATGCTTTGCCGTAATCAATTAAAACCTCAAACCTCTCTCTATCATTCGGTAAGCAAATTTCAGTTATTTGTCCTCTAAGCTTGATTTTAAGATTAATTTGCAGCTAATATGTTTAGAAAACTTTCTGAAGGTTAAAAGTAAAATTTTAAGATAATTCGAAAGAGAAAATACAGACTATAATTTAAAAAAAAAAAACTTAAGATTCTTTTTTTAACTCTGAAAACAAATGCTTCTCAATGAAGGAAATTGGAAGAAAGAACAATTTTCGGAAAATCCGTTTCGTTTTTTTATGTGTTCAAGGAGAAAATAAGGACGATCAAAATATGTTTTTTGACATTTTTTACTTAATGCAATAGGCCAAATATTCTATTAAATTGATTTGTGCGAAAGGAAACGAACACAACAAATAATATAGCATACGATAAGAATGGGCAACTGTTTTTCAATTGAATGCCTGTATAAAATTAAATTTCTTCTTATCATGTCATATCATATCATAAATGGAGAACCAAAAGATGTCTCTGCCGGACATTTTCAGTGTTGATGCTTCAGTTCAATCTTTCCTTTTATCCGATGCCATCAAAATTCTTAGTCTCTAAAGGCATTCAGTATTCAGGGTCAAAATTGCTTCACTCTTCTAATCTGACTAAATACTGATGAAACGGAACGCAATACCTTTTCTTGTAAGAATGTAACAAAAGACCAAGCTCTTTCAAAAGTTTTTATGGTATATAGCGCAAAGGGAGGATGACTTTCTCTATATCTGCAGAATGTCTGAAGAAATCATTAAGGCATAAGAAAGTCCAAGGCACCTTCATGGCATTCAGAAAAAAAATCGTTTTTGGCATAAATTTAGCTTTTTTCATATTAAGATAATTGATTCTTGCAATTTGAAAAATGGAAAATTTGAGCTTATTCGAAATATTGCCCCCCCCTTGTCTCTACATCTACCACTATTTCTGCTGGATGAACTGGTGATATTTTGTATTATTACATAAAGATGATATGCACTGAGGCCTTTACGGAATGAGGCAAAGAAGTTGAATTCCTCTTCTTCCTTCAGATTCCTCAGATGGAGAATACTTCCTTTTTGATTTTACCAGATGTCAGACCCTAAATAGGACTCTAAGCGGAACTGGTAAGAGCATGAAAATTTATCCCGTGCTGATGGCCAGTATAGCATTAAAGTATTAAAATATCAAAGATACAGTGTATTTGCACATGTATATGATAAATAAAGTGCATGGTCTCTGAGATATATGCGTTTTCCATATTTCTGTAACAAAAGAATAGTCGTACGTAAGTGGCATGAAGCTTCAGTCATATTCAATTTTGGAACCGAATTTCGGTGGCTAATAAGCAAAGATTTTGCATTCTTTAAGCGGATACATCTAGGATAATAACTCTGTCATTTGAAACATTTTTATCATTATGTTAAAAAAAAATTAGAACTTTAATTACTTCCTTTATGTTCTGTATTCCAGCTTTCTTTTCATTCTTTCCTAAAATTTTATTAATGCTTGCGAGTTGAAGAATTCCATTCAATTAAAAGAATGCTATTATAAATATTCTATTATAGAAATTTGTGATCAGTTGTTAGAAACTTCATATTGCATTGTGATACCTTTTAGTGTGAGAGGCTTCTTCCTCCCCTGGCCATTATTTCCTTTTTATCAGCAAATTTCACCTTTGAAAATCGTTTTCATTCTAGCTGCTTAATATAAAATCATATAGGTGCATAATAATGCCGCAAGGGAATTCGCAAAATAAGGTCGAACAATCTACATGAAACTGAAGAAGATACCATTTCCGTTAAGTTAAACTCTGATCATTCAAACTTATTCCAGTACATGCATATAGTGTACAATTGGCAAGTAGCCTTCTTGCAATTCTTATAAAACTACATAGTGTATATATTTCCTTCTAGGTAAATATAAGTTATTTATAAACTATTTTATCTTGAATAAGCTTTTTCACTTGTCTTCAAAGAAGTTTTGTTGCTACGATTTAAGTAATTTATTTAAATATGCTTTCTGATAAATAACTGCAAATGAATTATACTACAGAAAATATAGCTGCTTAATACAAAATCGTGTAATATTATTCAAATAGAAAAGTGTAGGAATTTGTTTCTCTTTTTGGGAACTATTTTTAACATATTTAGCTAAAATTTATTTGAGTTTGCCTTCGCTGAAAATTATTTTTTGTCATTTGCTATTTTGATCTTATTTAGCGATTTTGCCTCCGTTAAAAATTTATTCTGTAATATCATATTAATTGAATTTCTGATTACAATAAACGAAGTATTTCCCACGTTTTAGTATACAAACGGGTGAGTCCTAGGCAATTCGATAACAGTATCCGAATGCAAGCATTAACCACTGTCACACTGAACGGCGTGTGCTGCAGATGCTACGTATTATAACCAGTGGACACGAAAGGATCCCTCTCCATAGACAGATAGCTGAAAATATATAGAGGGATAAAAAGTAACAAAATTTAGAAAATTACGCAACCCATGTCAAAAAGTAAAGCAATTAATTCTCAGTTCTACTACAGTTGATACTTATTTCACTCGCTAAAAGAGGAGGGCTTAAATGACATATGAAATTCTACTGTATACACAAATTCCTATATATAACAAAAAACTAATTTTAAATAAATCTGTGAAACAGCACTATCAAAACATTTTGCATATTTCAGTTTAAACATCAATAGCGGTAAAAAAAAAAGGTAAAAGAGTTCTTTCTGTTTTCATGACTTGTAAGTAAATTATTTAATCTCTTGTTGTCACATTATGAAACACGGATTTTATGAATAACTGCCCTATTTTAATACAACAAATGGTGGTTAATCTTTGGATTATGATAACTTGGCGATTTTTTGGCGAAAATATGGCGACCAACCCTGCTACAGCAACCTGCTAGTATTTGTTTGGACGCCATTTTGTTTTCACGAAGTAAAGGCATGTTTATATTTTTTTTACTCAACATTTTTTTCCAACAATTTGATAGCCGAATTACACTTATGCTAGAACTTTTATGGAACAAAAGTGCTTAATCATGACGAAGATTAGGTGCGGACAAAGTGCAGAGTCGCCCACTGCTTGCCGCGTTTTTAAGAATTGCACATACACGGTATCATCCATGTACACGTCCACCCATTTTCACTTAAAAAAACATCCCAGAATTGCACAAAAATGGCATTGCGCACACTCTTTACTTTATCCATGTACATTGCTACTAAAGTCCTAGCTAGTAACCTTTATCGCCTTACCAAAATGTCGTCAAACTACCTGTTACCATATTCCAACGATTAGCCCAAATGGTATTATGGGAATACAAACCACTTTTTAAGACTAAGCTTCATACCGAGTGTATAATGTGTAGGCAAGGAGTGTATAATTTTTTCTTTTTTTTTTTTAACAGTTGGTACCTCCTACATGAGAATGGCATGCCGAGAAAAAATAAAACCTTTCTGTAGACGACAAAAATTAAATTCCAACTTTAAATGCAGCAAACAATGCTCCCAGTATCCTGATAAAGTAATGAAGGGTGGAACCTTTATATCAAGAACTGGAGAAGAAATTCGCAACAAAAATGCCGAAGCTGGAAATCCGTCGCTCCTGCAAGTAAGTTCAAACAACATGCATTATTATATATAATCCCTCCAAAAAAACTAATTTGATAAATTTATTTAGAGCAAAATTTTGTTCCAATCCTGCTTCGTTCATTACTGAGGCATTCGAGCTGTGATTTTATGTATTACTTAGAACGAAAGATATGAAGAGTAGTCCTTTATATATTTTTTAAAAGGCTTGTTTATTTGCTTTCTTTCTCTACACTTTGAAGTAGCCCAAAAGAAATGCCATTTCATGCCATGAAGAACATATCTTTCATGTTAACGTATTTTAATTGGCTCTACTAAATTAAAACTTTCTTAAATAAAAGGTGGACTCTCTATTATTATGAAACCGAAATATAAGCAAAAGGAAAATTTTTTAAGTTATCATTATTATTGCGTCGTCTACAAAAGTGTACTGATTTTTGGTTACAGGAGACACTCGGTTATCCGGATCGTTTGAATATTCGAATGAGAAGTGGCCCCTGGATATTAGCAAGTTTTGCTGTATAATATATTTTATGTATCATTTTGATTTAAATATTTCGGCTTTAAACAGTTGTTTCATTTAGATATCAAAAGCTAGTTTTATGAAGTAGTGTTAGTATGAGATTTTCGTATTGCATTAAGGTGTATAGTAATTTTAATGAAAAATAAAAACTGAATGTCGTTTTAATATTTATTTGTATCAAAAGAATGTCCCATATAAAGCACTTGGTACTCTTCTGTTATCGGGAACGGATTCACAAAGTTATTTATGCATGTATATATGTATGTGTATACACACCCACATACATAACCCGTGCAGATATACATTTCTGGATATTGTTCTGTTACAGGGACTAGATTCAGAAATGTGTGAACGTATGTTTTCTGAATCTCTAGATAACAGAAGAAATGCGAAGCATTTGCTAGAATTCTGAAAATAAAAAGCTCTTATATGATAATGAGAAGGAAATGCTTTTTGAACTATTCAAATATTCTGGGCTAAAATATCGAAAAATGATGCGAAAGTTTAGTGAGATAAATGAAAGACCTCGTCAGTTTAGGTGTTAGGTTGCTGTACATGTGAACTGATGTTCTAAGGATGCTTACATATTAACCTGCCGATCGTGAAAAATAGCTACTATCGAACAACGAAAGTTGGCAGAGATTCCGCCAAAGTTGCTCCAATCGTTTCTTATGAAGTTTGAACAAAACTGGTATCTCTTTATCTGATAACCACTGAGTTTTCGAACTAATTCGTATTTTGCGCTTCGTAAAAAGGCTTCAATTGATTTCGATTATTTTGTTAGACCTTACGATTTTACCTGAACATTGGTTTAAAATGCTACGAGTACAAACTTTCCGCAAATAAACTATTACTCTTTCGTCAGCCATATTAGTGTGACCAGATCGTGTTCAGACCGCTATAATTTTGAAAGCCCATTGCTTGCTGTTTTGCAGAAGACAGGTCTCTAATTTTTGTTTCTTAATGCAATAATAGTTCATTTATGCTCATGAAAACGAAAGCTGGCTTATCAAGAAATCAATTGGGGTTGCATCAAATGAATGTGTTATCCTTAACTGCCGCTAAATCGCGCTGCTTGGCGAGTTTCTTGGTCAACGGAGTAATTCCCAAGTACCCATTTAAGTAGAATTATAGGCATTTCTTATCGTTTTTGTCAATGCATTACGCAATTTTAGTATGTGTGAAATATTAAGTACGTGTCACTTCGGAATAACTTAACCGAGACTTATTAGAATATGATATAGTTTGTTACTAGAATAAATGAAATTATACACTTTTATCATTTATCTATAGAATGGAGTGCAGCTAACATATATTTATGGAGCCGGGCCAAGGACGAGGCCCTTGCGTCAGGTGAACAATTACGGGAAGTGCCAAATTTGGCAAAACAATTTTGAAATTCATTTTTAAAGAAATTAGAACTGTCAGCTTTCAGCAATGAAACCATTAAGAAGCGCCGATTTAAAATATTCTATGTAATGTACCAAAGTTTTATTTACCCTACTTTTAATTTTAAAATATTACATTCTTAATGCTTCTTTCAAAAACCAAAACGCAGCTTTGCCTAGTAAACACCATATTGCCGACATTAGTAGTTCCCTTCTCTTTCCCTACATCCTTATTTAACTCTTAGGGCATTTGTGGCACCTTAACGAGACTTCTCTAGGTGTTCTCTTAAATTTGTTTCAGCTGAGCTAATACACTTACATTTATTAAAATAGCTTCAGGATATTAGGTACGAATGTGTGAAAATGAAATAATTTGCTCAATTTCTAGTGTAAATTCGACTTTGGTTAAATATATAGTTCCTGTTTGTTATAATGTATATTTTCCTGTTTCACTCCATTTAATTTTCTTCAGCTGTGCAGATTGTTTTTACGTGAAGTTATTCCTGGGAAAGCTAGTTTCTAAACGGATTAAAAGAATCCGCCCTTAATTTCATTTCCTATTATAAATGGAAAGTAAATTGAAGGTAAACCGTGACATTTCTGAGTGGTTTTACTGTTTATAATGAAATAATAAAATGATTTTCTGATTACCAAAGCAATAAGCAGAAAAATTCAAAATTGTAATTTTTATTGCTGAAAAATTATAAATCATTGAAATTGTGAGGTGACTGGTAATTACAGTTGTAAATGAGCATTATGTTTTAAAACTAACTACAATAACAAATAAGTTTATATAAATAGCGCTTTTATGAAAATAGAAACTAAGTTAAAAACCTTGGTAATGCACGGTAACGTTCTTAGGGAATGATCGTCATTAAATTGTTGGCCCACTAGTGCTCGAGTGAAAAACTCACTGAACATTTTATTCATTTAGATAGCATTTTGTTCAGTAGTTCGGTAATAGCTCAAATCCTGGTGAACTGTAGGCTCCATGAACGCTTTCTTCTTTTTGCTCATGTGTAACGTAGATACGAGCCAATTCCCATTAGAAAGTCATCCCCGAAGGTCTTCCTAAACTAGATTGTTCTCGCCTTTTTTGTTCAATCAATGAAACAAACCATATCGTAAACTTGTTTAATTAACGATTTAAAACTATTTAATATTGAAATTATGACGGGAAACTCAACATTTCGTATTTTATATATTTTTCAAATCACCGTTATTACTTAACAGTTATATTAATGAATCGAATTTTTATAGCTATCAAACGATAAAGTATTGAAATTGGAGGAAACTTAGTGTCTTGAAAAAATTTAATTAAAATTTTATGTATGTGGCCTGCATTAAATTTAAAGCAAGAGGAAGCAGTCAAAACTTCGCGGTCAAAAATTGTAGTTGTACATTAAACTTCATTATACTGGTACTATGAGTGCAAATTCTGATGAATGGGCTTACTGCATTCGTATTTCCGAGTTTTTACCTATATTATATAAGTATAAATTTTTATTAATGTACTCCGTGTTAATGCACTCTTATTTATGTACTCATCTTTTTTCTTTTAGCAAAAAGCCCTCGCAAAAATTAAACAAGAAAATATATACAATAGAGGAATTATCACTTTCATTTTTCGTTTTGAAAATATCTGAGCAGTAAACATCTAAAAGTTTAAATCTTTTAAAGAGAATTCACGAAAAGAATTTCATTCAATAACACCAAATTTGAAAGTCTATGTTAAGAAGATTAACATTGCTTGTTACTACCTCTAATGGAATGTAAAAGCTTCATCAAATTTAAATGATAAAAAAAAATTATGTAAGAAAGTTTCACAGGTGGCTATTTTATCTATGGAATAGGAAATAAGATACTAAATAGACTGAAACAATTATTGACTTTGATAACAGCCAGAAAAATTAAACTGAAAAACAATGCTTGAACACATTAGTGTTAATATCTTTTACACTTAATTACATTATTATTTATGATATTTTACTGGTATTTACTATTTATCAAAATACATTTTGAGATTTTTTTTGCTTTAAAACTAAATCATTTTTTGAATCATTTTTCTGAATATATAAAGGCATGATTAAAAATATTAACAGTTAGAGCATGGTTTAATGTAAGACTTAAGAAACATGACTAAAAATGATGACTAAAAATGACTAAACTTGAGGAACATGAAAATGTACTGTTAGACTAAATAATTTAATACTACATAGAGACGCGAATTTACCTCTTTGCCTTATGTGAAGAGATAGACACGGCTCTGTATAGTTATGTCATAAGGGTTTCGAATACACAGTAAAAACTGTCATAGTGGTCATGGTAAACAGACCTAAATTTGCATGGAATGAGTATCAAAACAAAAAATTAGGAAATGCTTATTTTATTAAAAACACGTGCATGTAGAGAATTTTTCTTCGTAACTATTAATATACTGAAGAGAATAATTTTGAAATGAAATCTCTAAAGTTTTCAATATGCTTCAAAGCTTAACAGATTACTATGTTAGATTATATGTCCAAAGCAAAAGCATTTTATGTACGCTCTTGTTACTAGGACCGGATTCAGAAATGCATGTATGTATATATGTTCATATCCAGAGACACAAAAATACAGTTAAAAGATTAAACAAAAGATTGAAACATGGATTAAAACAGAAATGCAGTTAAAAACATCAAATCAATATTGTTCCCCGTATTGTTTATTGCCATTTATAAAGTTCATCAAATCCTTTGCAAATCTAAACTCTTTATTGCGGCAGTAGAATTCCTTTTTATGTTAACATGTTTTTCCCTAACATGTAGCAATAACCAGTCTTCGACGAACTGTCATACATTGCCTTCAGCACTACAAAGTCTATTAGTTTGCAAATTAAATCTTTTCAGTTACGCCGGGAAGCGCCCGTGTCCAGTAATTTTTTGATTGTAATCAAAATTACATATTCTCATATTTTTAGAAACTTCAAAGTTCAATAAATCTTTCCTTTTTCCCGAAAGGTTCCATTTCTCTTTCCAGCTATCATAATAGAAATCCGTGATTTTACCAAAAACAATTATTTTTTATGCCCGAATATCGAATGCATCCCCGGCATTACTCACAGCAGCCTCTTTGGCACGCATTCGGCCCTCTCATTACCTATAACGCCAATATGTGCTCTCACCCAGTTCATTTTCATTTCAATGTATTTGCTCAACTTTTATGAAGGGATCTTTTATATACGAAACCAAAATATTAGTCTTATCAACGTCTGCTAATGCTTCCAAACCAGATAATGAGTATATATATATGTTTTTAATCGGGTTTTCATCAATCCATTTAAGAGCAAATATGATAGTAGCCGATTCGGCTTGAAAAACCGAAATGTAAGGTTCAAGTCAAATTTGGCCATAGCCTATTTCTGTACCAAACAAGTAAACCACATATACTGCACAAACTATATATGTGTGTGTTTACACCCATATATATACCGGCAAACATACACAGATGTAACGTAAATTCACACCATTTTCCTTCAAAAAAGTGCATCGCAAAGGCAAGTAGAAACCTCTTTGGACTTTGCTGAATTCGAAGCACACTCTCAAAGCAAATAGTTTTATACAGAAGTTTATGAAAAATTATTGTTCTGCCTTTCGTTTTAAATATCAGAAGGAAATATGTAAAGTTTGCAAAAAGTATAATATTTTTGTTAGTCTCTTTTTTGGTATGATCGGATTTGTGGAAGAGATCTGTTTAGCTCCGCATTGAACAGCCTGAGGAAATACTGATATTGTCCGAGATACTGTAAGCAGAAATTCGTTTTCTTGCAAATTTTGTCGAAGTTTTTATTTTGAATAAAATAAAGTTCATGAACGTAGTTTGCTGTTGGTTTTTAAACAAAAACTGCCGTTTCTTGAAGCAATATTTCTAAGACTATTATAGTGTGTTCACTAAAACTCTTCCCTTCTGTCTTTCCTTGCAGTAGATAATACTTTTCATGAATTTATATTTTATTACTAAAGGAGTTAGGACCATCAACGGAAGAACTGTAATACTGCTGAACAGTGGTTATTCCACTCTGGTTTAAATCCTGGTGGACAGGCGGCTGGCAGCATGGGAATTTCCGTGATCTTTCCTCATATGTAATGTGAATATATATTAAATTTCTGGGTCATGGAAAAGCACACAGTGTCTGAGGTAAAGAATACCTTCGGAGAGAACTTCCAAAGAGAAATTGACTCGTATTTACGTTACACAAGGGGAATATCATGAAATCTTTCATACAATTCACTCATTCGCATTGATATGAGCTCGGTGCTCAATGATCTTAACCAGTTGGCTGCTGGTGAGCCTGTAATTGTAAATACGAGCCAGTTTTCTATTTGAAAGTCCTTCACAAACATAGCCCTCGTGTTTTTGTCATTGACCAAATAATTCAAATCCGTCTGAATTCAGTTATAGAAAAGAACTAAATCTATGCATCTCAATTTTAAGATAGATCCTCGACAAAAATAAGCTCAATGAAATAATGTTTAACAAATTATATAGGCTACTGAATAATTAATGATATAAAATTTGTATTAACAGAAGAATTAACATAAATTAACATTTGAAGCTGGGTCAAAGAATGCGTATTTGTTTTTTAATCTGTAGGCCTTGAACTTTTGTATTTCCTTCAAATATTTAAACTAATCTTATTTCCGGAAGCCAAAAATGTTCCATAAAGTTAATAAATCTTAAGCGAATAAACGAAAAATGTAAAAGATTTACAATATGTAGATATATGAGTACGCAATTAATTGCATTCAGTATCGGATGCATTAATGAACAAATACTATAAAATTATGATAAAAATATATCATCCAAAGCTAAGCTGTTTAAAAAAAAAATTGGTGTTTCTAAATTTTGGTGAAAAATACTGTTATCGAAACAGTAATTCTTAAATATTCCAAGTAAACTGCCTTTTCCTTTTTAAGTGGAAAAAATAGATCTTTAAATTAAAATATTACTGGATCTCTTACTCAGCGATCCATTGAGTAGTGCGGGTGAATTGGAGTTTCTGCTATTGTCTTTTCTGAATTTTGATATGTTCTCTTATAACTAGTTTTAAGCTTGTAACGTTCACAATCTCTTTGTTAAAATATTCTATTATTTTACGCAATATTTGAGTGCAAAAAGGTTTTTAAACGAGTTTAAAAGTATCATTAGAGTCAATTTGCATTAGGGTCATATGTATACATACAAAAATTAGTTGAGTACTTCAGAGCATGAAAGGGTTATCTGCCTAAACGGAGAAATGCCGTTATGGAAGAGCTCTCTAAGAGAAAACTGAATTGTATTTGTATCATGTGTAGCGAAAAACATTAAAACATGGCTAGCCATTACCCAACCCAGGTAAATAACAGCGTACAGCGATTTTAACATATTCAACCTCTGGCAAGGACCAGAATTTATTGTAAAATATCCAAAATTGTAAGCCATTTAAAAATGTATATTTTGCTCTTTAACAAATCTTGACCAAGAACTACATTTATTGAAATCATCCAGTAATGTTTTTAGTTTATATCGATCGATTTAATTTTCCAGAATAATGAACAGACGGTTAAAGTTGTGGAACCAGTTGCTGTGGTGGCTGCTTCCTCAGGTGCACAGTCGAAGTAAGCTGATGTATTTATCGTGTTTATCTTAAATGCATTCTTTTGTCATGTTAATGAACAACTAAATTTTCAGCAAGATATTTTATAATCCATAACAATCACTCTGCTTGTAAATTTAATTCCTAGTGCCTATGTACAAATCGATAAGTATTGATATTTTTTTAAATTACCCGATACTGCTAAATTATGTACTTGCATATTTTGTTGCACATTCGTGTTCAAACTTAATAGAAGAAACTGATTTTTCCGATTTTGTTACAAATATTGGGAAGAAGGAAAGAAATTTGGAATAGATACAAAATAATATAGGACGGTAATTTATACTATGTAATTAGCATCTTTGAGGGTAAGAATGTTCAAAACTGATACGCAAACTGAAACCTGAAATGAAGTTGAGGGGAATGGTCGCATCTAATTTTAAAACGTATTTGGCATAACTAGATATAGTGCTAACGAGACAGTTGATGAATCTCTGAGGCAACCGCACCTATTCCTACATCAAAGTAGTTCTCGGCTTCTGTTTCATTCTCTGAAGTATTTAGTGAATTGCTATTGTTTTCTTAAGTGTATCCTAGACATGTTCATTCTAGTTCAGGCCAAAAGATCTGGGTAACCAAACAATTAGCCGAATATCTTTAAATTGAAGATAATTTCCATCATTTGAGCCTAAGCATTGTTGTCCATAAAGAAAGAACTGCGCTTCTGAAAAAGCTCATATAAGTATCTAAGATATTTTGTTTCTATCTTCTGATTTTTCTTTCACACTCTACCAACGCATGTAATGCTGTGAGACCAACCAACGTTTTTGCATAGATCATGGCACATGCGCCGCCATACTAGTCTTTTTTTTTTCGTTTATGGAAAACGGTATCGAGATTAATTTCTTCAAATGAAAGAACGGTATAAATTAGTGTTTAAGTTGAATTTCTGCTTCTCACAGGTAGGTAGGGTAGGTTACGGAGGATTGGAATGCCTGTTGTCTAACAGAGGTAAACAGGCATGTGTTCCACGCCCTCTTTTAACTACAGGAAAAGCTCCCTGGAGCCCCACGAGGCTAGGAATCCCCTTTCTCCGTCACATATTCAAGCTTAATCTAGACGCGAGAACATGGGTTACTGACTGTCTTGGGCATTCCGCCAAATGTAACCAGGGTGATGGCAGTTTGTTTTGAGGAAAAAGCCGTCTCGTGAAGCTATCGGAAAACAATAACACTTAAATTCAAGTTCTAGTAGTATAAATAAGATTACAAGAGAGCTGTATGTTGTAGCAATTATCCGGTGCTTGGCTAAAAGTGCCAAATAGCGAACTTCATTGGGCATCATGGATTTCTGACAGCCTTGCCCCAAGGTCCTCTTGATATATATCTTCTTTCTTGAGATTTTCTATAAATTTATTACATGGAGGCATTCATTACATTGAGCTTCGCAACAGCTTGAATCTACGATTGCTGTTTGCAATCGACTAATTTGAGATTTCGTTCGGTCTCGGAAGGTTAATATATTTTAATATTAAATCTTAACATAATTTTTTAACAAAAACTAATAATTACTAATTCGTGCGAACTACATAACAGCGAAGTAACAGATGATTGCATTTTACATAACTACGGCTGTCATAGCTCCAGCTATATATACTGGTACGCTTATGATTTGAAATCAAGCTACTGCATTTTACCACACTTTCCAGTTTTATTTGAAATTGGAAAAACTTGTTTTCTTGATTTTGAACAACAGAATTCATTTAATTGGAAGCTTTCTTCTTAGAATATCAATGTTTTTCGGATTGTCAAACCTGAGTTTTAGTACTATATAATTCATTGTGGGTACAAATGTATGAATAGACAATTTAGTTTTCATTTAAATGCTTTAAATGTACATTTAATTGTCTTTGTTTTGTATATTTCTTTCTTAATCATTTATTTCCACAATTGGAGAGATTGCAGAGAATGTAGATTTCGTAGACACACTCTTTTATGAAGAACTCCGGAATTCTAGATTCTCCGCAGAGACTCTATACTTCTTTGTTTTCCAAGCGTTTTTGCGGATATTCCAGGATTTTATTTCTGTTAAAATATCATTTGCATAAACAACTCTTAACCAACTAGTAGAAACTTTGCACCTTTTACTGCACCCATGAATACGTGCAAAGTATGCATGTAACTGGCAAAAGGAAAGAATTCTGAAATTTGTACATTTTTGTATCATTTAATACAAAATACTTCTGAATATGTATAAAATGCACTGATTTTGAAACTACTCCTTGCTCGTAGCTTTTGGCTCGGTACGTTATCCGTTTGGTGTCTGAACACAGGAGAATTTTCGGTGATTGAGAAATGCTCAGATCTCAATTTAAAATTCACCAAAATACAACCACCACTTCATACTAATTTATAGCCAAACTATGCATTTCAAGAGAGAATTTTCTCCCAATAGCAATTTTCTGTTTGTTCTTTAATAAAGACTCTTGTTTTTTTTAACCTTCGAATTTAAAATTTTCTGTAAGCCAAAATCAACCTATGATTGAATTTATGTGAATTAAACAAATCAGTTAAGTCAAACTTCTGTCGTTGAAAATTCCCTGCTTAAACTTGTATTCCAATTTATCTTATTATTGATATACACATATTTATTTATTATTGATATATCTGTGTCGTTGATTAGCTTTAAAGAATTCTACGAAAATTCACTTGCAGCATCTTAGATACACCACTTAAGATTCACAGGAATTGAAGAAAATAAAACGCATTAGCCTTAATAAAATCCACATTCACTTACACTGAGTACTGTCTAATACCTTGACATTAATTTTATATTAAGCAGTTCCTTAGGGTACAATTACAGAAAGCACTTTAAAGACATAATTTCCTATTCATTTGGGGGGGGAACCTATGTTCAGGTCTTGACATTTCCGCTCACAGAAGCTTTTAAAGATGTTATTCATGCTGTTTATTTTGCAGATGATTAGATTGGTAGGTTGCTTTTAATTCGGTGAAGAGAAGATAAAGAAAGGATGCCTTCACGGAGAATTTTCCAAGAGAAACTAATTCATGTTTTGTGATACACATTAACACTACGAAAATCCCTCATGTAGCTAGCTTATTTGCAGAGATACTGATCCAAATACTGCGAAAATAGTAATGTTTTAAAATGTAAACGTCGCATTTCCATGCATATCATTATAAACTTCACTATTATTTTATTAAAAAGGGTAAAATAGAATCACTTTCGACCATGATTTCTAAGATTCCAGTATCGTGCAACTAATAAAATTAGTACTACATCTTACGAACCCGAAGCGAAACAAGCAAATTTACCTACAAATATATTCTTACAGAATTACTTTAAACTCCAAGCACAAACATGCCTTATTCGCAGATTTTTATGACGTAAGGAATGAAGTTTTGTTCATCGCTACGTTTCGCTAAGGTATACCTATCAAAAAGAACAAAGATCTTGGATCTTAACTACTTAGAATTTTCTAAAACAAAAATTTCTCCGAACGTTACATTCGGCGAAGTGTTGAAAGAATTTGTTGTCCGGGCTAATAGCAGTTTCGACTACATTTATTTAAGTGCAATGTGTACCATACCATTTTCTTAATGCTTAATTACTAACTAGAGTGTTTAGCATTTTCACTATTTACTATACAGATATTTAGCCGAAAGTCAATAAGTTGTGATTATTCTTGAAATTCAGAAATGAAGCATCTTCACACAAAATTAGTGTATTCTGACTGCAGAATTATTCTGTAAATTTATCCAATACCGGAACTTTTTGATTATCCGAATCTCCAGTTTTACCAAGTTTTTTAATTGCAATTTTTTTGTCATGTTTTCAAATATATACTCGGCCACAGAAGTACATTTTAAATGTAATCATTTATTTATAAGCAGTATCCACTGGCTGAAAAAATGAAACATTACCATATAGACTTTTGCTGTGTTTCGTAAACATTTTTGTTTCTTATAAAATTCTTTTATTGGTGCATGCATACTATCCCGTCGACCATGAAACTCGCCAAGAAGTGAGATTTAGAACCAGTTATGGGTAAGCGTGATGTAATAACATTCATTACATCTGTACTTTCGTTTGATATAACTCTAGTTGATCCTCGTGAAGACATGTTTTGTTTTTAATGAATAGCTATGTAAACTAACTGCTACTGCTGTATTTTTCCTTGCATTTAGAATTTTTTTTAAATTTGAGATTTGCCTTCCACATAATAGCAAGCAGCGGATTATTTTCAAAGTTTTGATTTATCTACCATTAAAAAAGTGTCTTAATAGACACGATATGGTCAGACAAATATGGACGATAAAACAATAGTAGATTGGAACAATTACCTGCGGGAAGTTTGCGCTCATAGGTTCTAACTTCTGGTAAAATCGGAGTGTTAACAATACGATACAAACTGACTATAAAACCTTTTCCCAAAGAGCAAAAACGAAGGTGGTTCAGTATTGATTGTTCAATAAAAGGGCGCCAGTTGGTTAAGAATTCTGCAGGTATGACAGGCGGAAGTTTGGCTGGATCTCTACCAATTTTCAGGTCGTCGGGATAATACATAAATACTTTTTTTATTATTTAGTAATGTAGCAAGAGTAGTGGGTGGTAAAGACGGCCTCCCGACAGCTGCTGAGCGGTAAATTCGCTAACACGTTTTTTTGGAAATTCGATCCGGAGTTTGAATCCCGAGCAAGGAGCAACCAGTTCCCTTTAGAAAGGACACTACGAAGGCATCCTTTTGCTTAAGCAAATAAACCTCGAGGTTTGGTTTGATTTATTTGTCGTAATCAAATAAATCAAACCAAACCGTTAAAATAGCCAAACCAATGCTTTTCGGAATTAAACAAAATTGACTGGGGACTTTTCATAGAAGTGTAAATAATAAAATATCCAAATATCATGAGATTTTTTCATAAAAAATGAATAATTTTTTACAAAATTTTTATGTTTAATGAACTATTTTTACGTAGAAGACGATGGAATCTAGATGACTTCGACATCGGTCTCCCTTTAGGAAGAGGTAAATTTGGTCATGTTTATATGGCACGTGAAAAGCAAAGTGAATTTATCGTAGCTTTGAAAGTGAGTATCGATAGTTTTAAATTTTTTCGCTTTACTGTAAAAGTAAACTCTCCGCCCTCTCCCCCTGAAAAAAGAGCAGCAGTATGTTGTGCTTGACTACTCACTTTATCATGATAATACAAAGGGTATTTATTTGAGATGAAACTAGATAACAATGAAATGCACGGCAATGTTAAAATTCTCTGCTGTCAAAAACTATACTGATTTTTGACATCTACCACTTAACTGTGTTAAATGGTTCTTGATCAGAAGCGTTGCTGTAAATCAGGGTTTCTTAAACTGCGGGATCTGCAGCAGGCAGGCCCCAAAAATTTTAGCAATTTTGATATTTCTTTAACTGATTACAATAATTTTAATTACCAAGTATGTTTACACAATGTATCTGAAAATGGATAAAGATAAAACAATGCAGACAAAGGAAAAAAAAAAACACAAACGTTTCGGCGCAGTCTTTTTATAATATAAACGTTCATTTTACTTGCTTTGCACGTGACGCTGTCATTTCGTCTGTTACATTTTTTAAAATTTCAAATTGTTCTATGTCTTAAAAATAGAAATTAAAGTTAAGACCTAAAACTTCAATAGTATATTACAGTAACAAGTGAAAAAAATTGAGTTTCACTCATGCGTGTGTCAGATTTGCGCAATACTTATGGGAGTCTCACAAAATTTTTGTAAATATTATGGGGTTCTGGGGGTCGCCACTGAAAAAGGTTTAAGAAACCCTGCCATAAATGAATCGTTATGTGAATCGTTTTATGAATCGTTTTATGAATAGTTTTGAAGAACAGCGAATAATCGGTTACCGTTAATTTTTACCAGAAAACGTTCTGAGGACTCTCCGACTTTCGCAGGGGAACTATTAAATAACAAAAACAAGACTCTGTAACTTATGAATGAGCAGTGTAATTTTACGTTACAAAAGTGTGGATTACCTATATATTAGGTCGCGGACACTTATCCGACGATCATTTGTCCAATACGACCTCTTAGCCGTATCGGACATACAGGCATACAAGCGTACATATAGACGTAAACACAGGCAAAATAACATGCGCCAATGTTTTGATAAAATATATCCAGATTTATACGACAAAAGGCTGTTACCAGAGTACATAAGGAGAAAGTATATGGACAAGTATCACATTTTTCATTTTATTTAATGCTAAAGAGGTCATAGATTTTAAATTTAGATATAAAAGCAACCTTATTTTGGAGTAGATTTTGAAATCAATTTGTAGGACAGGTGGACGTAAAAGCTAAACGATTTTATATGGAAAGAAATGAGTGGAGCAAAGCGAAAACAAATGTAACGCGATCTGCAGAGGAAAATGGTAACTAAACGTGAAAAAACTAAGATTTGAATTTTGAAAATGTCGCAAACTTAATGTCATTAACTAAAGAAATAATTTTATAAATACGAAAAGGATTAAAGAAATCCACTTCAATAACTGGAAGAAGTTCTACGGATAATTATGATTGTCAAAATAATTGACTTCGGATTGTCAAAATTATGATTACGTGTCCATTTGTGATTAGCTATACAAGTTTCTTAATTCTTTTCGAACATAGATTCTTGTTCCCTGACGAGAAAGTTCAATGCACTTTCAGTTTGGCCGTATATCAAACCACATTGATATGGTAAGCTAAAATTCCGCAAGAATTGAAATTTTCCTACATGCATGTACTGCTGACAGATATTTGTTTGAAATACGATTTTTCCTCAGTTTTTAGAAAATGGTTAAATAATTTGTGTCTCATTATTAAGATGAAAAATTTCAGAACATTGATATCATCAGGGGTCTTAGATATTTGTTAGTTAAATGTCTAATTTTTACAAATCGTTTCATTTAAATGTTTTATCCAATGGCGGAAATTTGCTTATTCAGCACTGACCACACTTAAGGCCAGAAGTAGTGGCCATTTTATTGTGGAGGCATTTAAAAGTCGGTCATTATTGGCTCCTACGAAGGGCCGCCCAGTTACAACCATGCCTTTTTTGGGATTCGAGCCTGGAGCCTTTGGTACCGCAGTAAGCTTCCCTAATTGCTGTACTGTCTGAGCGGCGTTTCGTTTAAAAGCTAAAGTATAAAAAACTTTCTGTTCAAGATCGGTTAAGTTTCAACACACTAGAAATTTATGGAAGAAACTTTGGTAAGCAAAATAATGATTTTACATTAATTTCCTTGGATAGTACTTGGTAACATATTGGACATAGAATATTGCGATCCTTTAAAATCTATACTTGGAGTTACACCTGAATGAGAATATAACTCAGGTATAATTTTAAGTATAGATTTTAAAGGGTGTTCACAAGGGTTCATGTCTAAAAGCTTTTATGTAGAATCTGACCTTCAATGATATTTTATACAGATACACTTCAAAATATTTGAGTGACCTTTATTGATGACTTATTAAAATCTGGAGTGATGAGTTTGGAGCTTGCGCTATTACACAAAATGTGTTTGATTCTATTTATAAATGACTCGGCGTTTGTATGCTAAGTAATCATGTGAAACATAAAGTTATGAAAAAGAAAAATTAAGACTAAACCTGTGCATTAAATCAAGTCTAGTCGATGATCCTGTCTGAAAAATTAAAAATGCTTGAGAGCTTTGCTTGGTAATAAATTCCAGTGGAAAAGCATTAATATTTCACCTTTCCTATAAACGTGAAAATATTTTGCTGCACCTTTGAATCACAAACTTGAAAGGGATTGCTTGAGAAAGGGGCATGCGGCCACATTTCAAACTTTATCAGGATATAATGCTTGCAAACTACGTATTCTGTATAGTTCCTCACAAGCAATCAAAATTGCTTATTGAGAGTCCAGACCATCAAGCATACTGAGCATATTCTAGACTGCTGAGCATACTTAACTTTTGCAAAACGCAATAAATTTAAAATGTTGAGCATTTTGAGTTTAGTTTCTATTTTATTTGGAGAAGGGTTTATGCTTCTTACATATGAAATAGAAGGCAAAAATCCTTCTGCATATAAAATACCATCACCTTCCATACCATATTCCATTCAAAAATAAAACTGAAGAAACATTATCAGAGCGGGAGGGGAGAAAAGATGCAAATATATTAAAATATATGCCTGTTTAAGTCAATTTTTTTACTTGATGAAATTGTTAAAAGAAAAGTAAGTCCATAAGTTTTCCAATTAAGTTTATTATATTTTCACATTTTTGAGAGCTTGTTGTGCTCCAATACATTTTTTGACTGTGTGTAGTTTGAGTAAGTAAAGTTTTCCAAACTGTGATACATTGAAATTTAACTTATTTCTTTAATCTAGATAATATTCAAATCAGATGTACAGCTACATGATGTTGAACATCAAGTCAGAAGAGAATGCGAAATACAGTCTCACCTGAGGTGAGAAATTAATTTAACTACAAACATTCTTTTAATTTACTGCTTGATATTTTCGAAAAACTGAATTTTAATTTGCCACAGAGGGTTACGATAATTTTTTTGTCTTTATATAATCAATTTTAGCATAAGCTCTATCTTTAACTTTCAACATGTATCGAACAGAATAGGATGAAATTGCCTTATCTTTTGAGACTCGAATCCTGTTTTTTTATGGAGGCTATCAAAACCAGCAATTTATGATGCTTAAACAGTCTTATTTTCTATCCTATTCAACTTGTATGTTGCTTTGAGTTTAATATGTGAATTCTTGGTCTTTCGAAAGACTAAGTTCTGAATATGCCAGAATAGTTAGAAATATGAACCATTAAGAAACCCTTTTATGAAAAGAACCATTTTTAAAGTATTACGTACAGTGTTGGTTAACTTTGTAAACTCAGAAATATAGAATCTGGCACAAAACCTTCTCTGTGTAAACTGTAAATAGCATAGAGAAACTGTGCACACAGCTACACAAACAGAAGTACAGATGCGAGCCTACATCAGTCTTAATATGTTATAGAGACAGAAGATGCTATACTTATGTTCTGAGAAAGATAGTCCATGCAATTTTGCAAACCACGCTGTTCTGGGGAAATTTTTATGGCAAATCTCTTGATGATCGCGAAGTGACATAATGTCTATTGACATGCTTAAGTTTTCTCAGTTTATTTGTTCTCTCTTGATACTTTGGAAACAAAAGTCTTCAGGAAATCCACAGAACATCAAAGAAACTCAAGGGCTTACTCTGGAAGTAAATTAGTTCTAGATAACTAGGGAACGATAAGTAAAGGTATATGAAACTTCAGAATTAGATCTTCAGAGTATGTCTTGACAGTTAGCATTTATGACATTAAATGTTTTATGCAAGTTGTATTGAAACCGTCGTAATTCTATCTTAATAATTATATCGTTATTTTTACGCCGTACTGTTTCTCTTTCTGAAATAAAAGTGTGTATTGTAGATCTTTTTCCTGTGCCCTTTCCTTATCAGGAAATTTCTTTGGCGAATTTTATAAAAAATCACTTAAATAAAGTATTAAGACACAGTTTTACTGTGCTAATGTTCTCAGAAGACAAAAACTGCCGTTGAAAACAGCTTTAAAAACTTTTTTTGCTTAAATTTCAAAAAACAAAAGGCCACCAAATGGAACTTTTGCTCTTCATCCTTCAATCTGTGTTTGTAGGCCTTAATGCTTTGTATTCTCATTATTTTCTATTACCACCATTAAATGTAATGTTCCAAATCATGGAATGTAATATAAGGTTTTAGAATTATGAACTTAGGATTGCGTACAGTGTTGGTTAACTTTATAAACGCAGAAATATTGAATCTGGCACAAGCCTTTCTCTGTGTAAAATGGAAATATTTTAACGAAAGGTCTAATGCTATGATAAGTTAATTATTTTTTTAAATGACTCCAAATTTCATTTATTTGGTTTAGCACAAAACATTTAAAAATTATATAAATAATTCATAGCACATATTTGGTCTTGTAACTAACGTTAAAACGGTAAATTAATGAGCTAATTTACAATATCGCTCAGCCAATCTCGGAATGTGAAGATAAAACACATAATTGGAATATGTTTGCTCGTTTCATGTAGGATGGTGGTTGATAACCTATGCGTTATCTAAACTTCGTAGTAGAATCTGGAGAATATTATATTTCTTTTATATCAGTGAAGAAAAGGCTAACACGTAATGAGATCTATTTCCATCTCTAATAGTTTAAGCCAGTATTCGTTTTTGATTTTTGATGCTTGGAACTTTTGTATTTTATTTACTTATAAACAACCAATTTACGATATTTCCTGTTTTCAGACATCGCAATATTTTACGACTGTACGGATATTTTTATGATGAAAAACGAATTTATTTAGTGCTTGAATATGCTCCTGGCGGTGAACTCTATAAAAAGTTACGCAAGTGCAAATATTTTGATGAAAAGACTACTGCTATGGTAAGTTAATTGTTTTAAAGAATTCTGGATTTCATTCATTTAGTTATAATTAGTAATTTTTCAAAGACATTAGATGAAACATTGTATTAATAAGCATTCTTTTGCAGATAAGAAAATTGTTTTGTTTTTAAACTTCTAAACACTTTTTGCCTTGAAAACGTTACCATGCTCCAAATATGTATATTTCTTAAACAGTTATTTTAAATACTTATTAAATTTACATTACATTAAGGTTTAAATGTTGCATCCTTTCACAAAAAAAGATTGACAGTAATTAGGAGAAATTATTGAAATATCCTAGAACGGTATCTTAGTATTTTAAAGTCAGTTCAGATATCATTTATTATGAAGGAGCTAAGGATGTTTCATAAGAGACTTAAAGGCAAGATTTTAACCTAGATTGGGAACAAATGAACATTTTATAAAACTTTCAGAAACTTTCCCTTTTTCATGCTCTATATGTTGAATTCAGCTTAGAATCTGGGCAATGTAACTGAAATACTTACAACTAACGTGTGATATTTTATTTAACACTGGGTAGATCCCTCTGAGAAGCATTGATTTTTCTTTGTAGTAAAGGGCTTGAACTGTCATAGTCGATTATTCAAAATAGTTTGTTACTCCTTTTATAAAGTATTCAATGCTTCACTTATGACGGTGAAAGGTTTTACAACTGTAACTTTATCCTCTCACTTTTACAACTCATCTCAAACACGCTGATCTGTGTTGAGGTCAGAAAGTTCCCAAAATGTGAATGTTCTAACCCCCTTCATGTTCTTCAAACTGTCATTAATTCTGGGGTGTAAAATAGCGTATTGTCATCTCGGCGCCCCTTGGTTAGAGAAACTGGCTAGATTTTGTCCACCGATAGTCTTTGACGTGATATGACTAAAGAACCGTTATTGTCTCGGCTGACATTGCGATATTATTGGTTAAACCATCACTAATCTGTTTATATGCTTCATTCTGGGTATGAAACTATTTGAAAGTACCTTTGAAGAGCAGTCTCTACCAATAAACTGTCCATCGATAGTCGAACGGTAAGTTGCTGAACACTGGCAGTTCGACCGGCCTTCGAATCTCGAAGAACGGAAGGGTTGCATGTTTTTCCCCACGTGAGATGTAGTTATAGGGCAGTTTCCCTTAGAATGTTATCGACAAAGGTATGTTTCCGTTTAGGCAGATAGCCATCGTGTGCTTTGTTATAATTAAATCAACCAAAGCCTCTGTAAATATACTTTCGCAAAGGAACGAAAAGACGATGAAGGTGAACAATACACATTTTTCTCTGAGCTCTATCCATACTTTACACTTGTGCGATCCCCACTAAAACTAATGCTTAGTTTAGCGAAGTCGGAAGACATAATCACAGAATAGAAAGTGTAAAGACAGTAAGAATCTCTATCCATTTCTTACTACTGAACTGAAAAATTCCAAATTCCACTAATGTATCGTGAATATGGTGCTACCTATACAGACGCCGCAGCGATTATTAGAACTCTATAAAATTGTTAGAATCATGTAATAAATTACACGATTCTAACCAACTGTTTTGTTGTACTGAGATTGTCAGAATATTGGTTGTCAGAAGGTGAAAGTAAGGTTCAAGCCATTTAAGGATAACCTTTCCGTAAATTTTTCCAAGTCGTGATAAAAGGCGATAGGCTTGCATTCATCTGAATGTTTATAGATTTTTTCTGGGCTTGGGAGAGAAAAATATTTTCGCCTTTTATCAGGGATCGGGAAAAACGCTGATAAGGATATGCATTCAGGATCCTCGCTAGTTTGGAGACGGCTGGAAAAGATTGTTCTTGAATCTCCTATTTAAAGAATCTCAAGGGCGGAGAGTTTGTTTGGAGGGAGCAGCACGCCCATCTGACCACAAGATGGGAAGAAAATAAATATTTGTACGCACTTCAAGAAAAATGCTCTTATGGTTTCAAAACGTGTTTCTCAAAAACATCAAGAATGTTGCCGAGTTGATGAGAAATCGCCAAGTGCTAACAACCTGGCAATAAAAAATTATCGCCAAGGATAATTTATGCCCTCATATGTCTCTGGTTTTCAACTATCCTAAAAATCAGTGTTGAATTGATTCGGAATTAAAAAATTTCCATAATACGTGAGATAAATACTTACAAACATAATAAATGACCAAAAATTAAGGATTCAATAAAATATACAATAAACATAAGACTATTATAGAAAAATTCACTAATAAATAAAGTAAAAAAGGGGGAATTGCGAAAGAGGAAGAAGCTAGAATTCGTATTTTGCATAAATTCAAACGCTTGAAATAGAAATCTGAAACTGATATTCTCAGGCTCATTCTATACCATTCCTAACATTACCTCCAGCATTCTTAACACCGACAACTTTGAGTCTTTCAGTACTGAACTGAAACGTTGAATTAATGATCTGTATATAGGACTGTGTTCTGCAGTTGTATGTAAATATTTTAAACATTTACTCTAGTGAATTACTTAACGAGTTTTTTAAATTAACAAACTCGATCTTAACAGCTTTCTTTGTTAAATAAACAGTTCATTGAATTTACAACCTGTGATGTTTCTTTTAAACTAGAGGTTACGATTCTTAATGCCTTAGTAATGCGTAAAAGCACATTTATCGGGAACATGTGCTAAGTGATATTAATATAACGAACGTGGAAGAGCAATTGACCGTGCACAGGGAAACTAGAATGAGTAGACAGGTAGGAATTTCGGAAACGTATAAGGTTTAATCGATGTTGATATAAATATATAGAAGTATGAATATGCAAAGACAATTACGTACATGCTAATTTACAGTTAACGTACATGCTACTTAGGCATAAATCCATAAAGCATTGGGGAGAATACAGTGCATGTCTGTACACTTCAAAAATTACAAAAACTTTTGAAATATAGACTATATATAAGGAAAATACGTATATTTATAAAGTGTGACAAAATGGCATGTGGTGCGTTTCAGAATCTACTTTCCAAGTTCTCGAATTTTAGTAACTACTCATCTTTAGGTAAATTCTTCATATTTTCTTATTAAATCTTATTATTATTCTCCTACATTTTAAATTTTCAAATGCCATATGAAACGTAAACTCAGAGCGTGTGAACGGGCTTAGTGTAGATTAATAATGAATGACATTTTATTTTCATTATAACGTTAAGTTTTCAGTTTTCTTTACTATGTTGGTATTACTATTGCATTTGTTACAGATATCTGGTTTTTAGTTTTAATTTCTTAGCATTGAAAACGAGCAGAAAAGTCTTAAATAATGAATTATTTTGTCCTGTTTATTATTTCAGTACATCTTCAAAATTGCACAAGCATTAAAATATTGCCATTCAAAAAATGTAATTCATAGAGACGTGAAACCCGAGAACTTGCTTTTGGGTCGAGATGGAGAAGTGAAACTTTCTGATTTTGGCTGGGCAGTCCAAGATCCAACATTTCGACGGAACACTTTGTGCGGAACTCTTGATTATCTAGCTCCCGAGGTACTGAGAAATCAAACTTATGATGAAAAAGTAGATGCTTGGTGCTTAGGAGTTTTGTGCTTCGAATTTCTTGTTGGGAGACCTCCATTTCAAGCCAGAAATACAGCAACAACTTTTGACTTGATTCGGAAAACTAATTTGATATTTCCATCTAGTATGACAGTTGGAGCAAAGAATTTCATTTTGAAGGTAATAACTTTAAACTATCTTCATGCTTTTCAGAAAAAAATTGTTTGTATAATTGAGTGGTATCCACCGATAACATCGCGGACGAAAACGTCACGAAGAAAACAACGCAAAGCGAAAACGTAGTGCTACAAAGCATCGTGGGAGAAAATATCGCAAAGAGAAAACATCGCAGTTCTAAAACATCGTGGTACAAAATATCGTCGTCGAAAATAAAGCGGTTAAAAAACTTCAATTTAAAAACATCGTCGTCGAAAATATCGTGGTAAAAAATAAAGTATCTACAAATCATCGCATGACAATAACATCGCTGACATGCTTTTTTCAGGCTTTAATAATTGTAAATGGATATTCCCATAATGATTTGCGAGCGCCAGATGGAAAGAAGTATAATTTTAACTTTCATATTAATTTTCACGAAAAGAGTATTAGATTAACAAAAGTGAAGAAAATAATCTCATAATTAACTTAGCAATTTTTTATAGATAAGGACGTGCAGTTACTTATCTCCTTTTTTCTAATCTTTTTTAGATTATACGTTTCATGAAAATTTACCAGAAAAACTTTATAAAAATTGATTTATTAATGAAATTTGTTAGTTAACTATGTCTGTTTAAAATTCTATTAAGTGCTATAAGTTGCATTAATTTTCTATGCATAAGTTTTCTTCTTACGTTTTCAGCAAACATTTGTTAGTTAATAAAAATATGAAAGTAAAAATTATCCTTCTTTCCATCTTGCGCTCACAAATCATTATGGCAATATCCATTTACAGTTATTAAAACCTGAAAAAAGCATGTCTGCGATGTTATCGTCTTGCGATGATTTGTAGATGCTTTATTTTTACCTCGATATTATCGAAGATGTTTTTAACCTGCGAAGTTTTTGAACTGCTTTATTTTCGACGACTATATTTTGTACTACTATGTTTTTGAAATTGCGATGTTTTCTCCCGCGATGTTTCGTAGCATGACGTTTTCGCCTTGCCTTGTTTTCTCCGCGACGTTTTCGTCTGCGAAGTTTTCGGATTGAGTTGGTTTACATGGAAGTGTACATGCAAGTGCGTAAAAGTTATCTGACTTCGACTGCTGAAGCTCTAAGTTATGCACGCCTCGCCGAAAAGATGCTTAAATTGAAACGCGTGTTTCTATGAAAGTTTAAAGAACTGTTAAGTGTTAAAATCGGTGAATAAATTATCAAATCTTCCATTTTATACCCATTTTTTCCTATATTTTGATGTCAGCAGAATCCATAAATAAACGCACTTTACTTTGACGCATTTAGCCACTATTAACAGTTTATTATATCACTCTTGCAATATTCATATGTATAGCTTATTACAGCAAACCTTTCGGTCTGAATTGATATGCCAGTTTTTATCATTTTATTAACATTATTTTAACACATTTCTGTGCTCAGTTTTTATTATAATCCTTTCGAAACAAATCTAAATGTAAAGGTAGCGAGAGTACGTTTACCAGTCACGTAAGTCTTTACATAACCTCCCCCCCCCCAAAAAAAAATCTGAAAGTTGTCAGATTTTATATTACGCACAAGAGGCTTTTTTTAACGTTTTGTCTGATACTTTCATTAAATATCATGTTTTTCGCACTTAAACCATAAAATTAAATTTAAAATCAACATCACAAAATATTTAAAAAGGAGCATGCCTTTAGAATTTCCAATACAGTCTCGCGCGCTAGAAATAAACATGTTTTCCCCCTCTGTACAGTGTTGCTATTGCTCGCTTTGAAAACCTCGAGTTTTATAATCAAAGATTCGCTAGTTTTACAAAATATAAAAAATTCCAAATACGAGCTTCCAGATGTCAATATTCGAGGGGAGTACTAAACAAAATTTGATGTCCTTAGGTAGCGTTGTTTTTTCACAGTGCGAGAAAATGGCATACATTTATGCAGATTATGCATTATTTAATTTCATTAAATATAATGCAGGTGGCAACAGTTTGAAAAGTGAAACGCCGTTTTATAGTCAACGAGGCAAAATGCCAAAATGAATTTACCCTTCTGGGTAAATTGTCGTTTGGGCTAAAAATATTATTTTGACTTATCTTGTAAACCTGAAGGAACAGAATTTTATCCCAACAAGCGAAACGTTATCTCAAAATAATAGTCAGGTTAGTGTGGAGGAGTTTTATGTTAAAATGAATCAAACGTACTAGATATTCAGATATAGTATATTCGTTTCTGAGTACCATATACATAAGTATATAGAGAGGAATAAAACATTCGCTGCAGCTTAGCATCCTCAGAACTTTCAGAATGTTCTGAGGATGATTTGTTGGAAACGTAGAAATTTTCTAATTTCTGCTTTGCATTTTATGCAAATAAAATGCAAAGAAAATGTGCATAAAATGTGTTTTATTTTTAAATTTCTGAAATGTCAAACGAATCCTATGCTCTGATAATCTCGTATTTTATTTTTCATAGCCTTACACCAGGGATCGAATGCAGGGCTTCTATGCACGAGCACTTCCACTTTCTTTCCAAACCATTTTTGCTTATTCTTTAATTTCTTTTTGCAGCAGACCATGTGCATGGAACGTATAACTAGAAGTAACATTTTATTATAATTCAAAGAAATAAATTCGAATGCGCATGCATAGGGAGGTTTAAATATGTTAACTGCGGGCTGAAGGTAACACATTTTAGTCTAAGGATTAACTATTCTCAATAAGATATGAATAATTAATGTAACTTCATACATTGATTTGTTAAGAAATTCAAGATAGTCTCATGTTTTACCGAGAGGCAGCTGTGAATCTCTACCAAAAATTACCAGATTACAAAATATTTTTCTTGCCTGTCTTAAACCCGAAAAAAATCATATTTTAAAAGCCTAGTCGAATAGTCCTGGGCAGCAGATTCTCTTTGCGTCCTGCTTAGACAGTTATATTTGTTCTATATTTGAGTCATCGCTATCTTATGTCACAAAAACTTGATTCTGTTTGTTATCAAGCTTAGCCAGTTCATTCCTGAGATTTCAGGGTGTCACCAGCATATTTACACAAAGTATTTACGTCGGAAACAATTATCTGTTAGATATTTTAATTTTGTAATACAGTCAACTTTCACATCTTGCTAAATCTGTTTTACTTGATAATTAATACCAAATATACACAACTCCAGGATCATTAGTAACTTAGTTTCAAATGTGTCAGCTTATACATATTTATGATGTACGTAATTTGCAAGTTAAAACGGTAAGCACAAATTCAGATTCTTATTATATTTCTGTAATATGAGAAACGGATCCTTACTCAATACTGCATATACAAGTAACTATTCAAGCATCATAGACCTGTGTCCATTTATCTTGTATTATACGGAAGACCCAGTCTAAAGACAAGACTCGATCGACTTTTATTTGCAAACATTTCATTAAAAGCTAAATTCTAAGCACTCATCAATTAAATGTTAAGAGGTTGGCAGCTACTTTATCATTCATCTCGGAATACAAGCTTAGAAAATATCCTATTTAATTCCGATTTGCATACCGTAGCCAATTAATTTTAGAATGTTCTTAGAAATGGTAAGTTAATTGAATTGATTAAAATGAGTATCGCGTTAAGGGATCTACAGTACGATATTCGTTTTCAGTTGTGGTTACCTAGGCAGATAGAATTATGAATAAATAAAATATTTCAGTTAATATACTGATGAAATACATGTAGAAATCACTTCCTGGCAGACATCCAGCAAGTCTAGCAGGAAGCGTTAATTAAATGGCAAAAAAATCTGACGAATACGAGAACAATGAAACTGCAGTAAAATCTAGAGTGGAATGTTGAATAGGCAATGGTAAACGTAAGCTTGACGATGGATTGCAGTCTTATTTTATTTACATGTTCAAGTTATTTTATATTTTTTACATGCGTTTGTAATTAAAAGTCTTATTATTTAAGAGGTAGTCCGATTTAAAATTTTTACATGCATTTTCTTCATGGGGCCTACTACTGAGAATTATTGCAAACTACTTTAGTTGTATTGAACTTAAATTCGAAAACAGAGGGAATACTTAAAAATCCGAAAAGAAGCTATTTGTTATAACGCAGTTAGTTGTTTAACTTTTAGCCAAAGTTAAAATTAATTTAGTTAATTATCTTTTACTAGTGCAAAACATTTAGACAACCAGGAGTTTATACAAACACCGAATTGAAAAAATGAATGAACTCAAAAAACTGGATTAGGAAATAGAAATGAAAATAACTTCGGAGGATACTGAAAACGAAATGATGCACGGTCAAGAAATGCCAAGATAAAACTGTATTAGGAAGTGGGAGAATGCAATGATTTTTGAAACAGGCTTCCGAATGGGCTAGAACTGTAATTAACCAACCAAACAAGCAAACAAACAAACAAAAAAAAAACTGTCACTGTTAAAGCTACGGAAAAAAGCAAAATTAGTGAAACTACCACGTCTTCAGATTGGAACGTTTTACGGAGATACATGCAAATGCCTGAGCTATCGGAATCTCTTTGAAAATAAAGTTCAGATACAAAAATAAGCTTTTTTGTAATTTTAATGTAAAATCAGAGAAGCTTTGTATTTTGTAGGAAATTTAAATCAAATTTGAAAAATGTAGAGAAATAATACCATCAAATTAAAGAGGACATATTCAAAATGATTTTGATATTTCTCCTGGTAAAAGAAGTTATTATATTTCTCAAAGCTCTTACAAATCGGTAAACTCAAAATTAAACAAAACTTCGAGTTTTATGGCCTGGTAAATCATTCATACTTTTGTCGAATCCGAGAATTTGTGAATTCTCGGGTTCGACAAGTATGAACAAGTTCGAAAAGTTCGTGAATTCTGTAATATCTGTAACGAAATAGTTTATTTTTCCGCTGCATAAAGTATTTCAAGAACTTTAAAAATATCTATTTCCAAACTGTCGAAATGTTAGAAAATTTCATATAGATTGACGACTGTATTGAAGGATCAAACTCGTAATAGAAGTTATACAAGTATATTTAAAAAACTAACTGTATAATGCAGAAAGCATTAATAGTTCTGATCAATGGAATTCTAATTATCGCATACTTCAAAGCATCTCTATAAATTAAGAAATTCGTTTTTAATGTTTAAATTACCCGAAATAAATTCTAAAAATTTCTTGGGCTTCAGTGGATACCACTAAGTAATATTTTCCCTTTAATGATCAAGGCTTTAGATTTCATCTTATCAAATATCTACCAAAACGCTGTTTTGAAAACTGCGTCCTGAAATTTTAGATGATGTTGGATTTTTTGGGCTTATTATGACATTCCAATGAAAGATCTGTTCCAAGATTCGACCTTGCTTTGAGTAGTGTGAAGTTAACGCTCCAAAATTACAAGACAAATCGAATAAATGGTATCGAGTAAATGGTACATTTGTTCTTGTTAATGAATAGAACTGTCTTATACTGAAAATTCGGGAAATGGTCACCGTTGATGTCGAGAAACACTGTAAAATATTTATCAAACTGAGACATGCATAGCAGTTGAGGGATGGTTGTAAGATTCCTAAGTCCTGCTGCAGCTCTTCTAGATTGTATCTCATAACACTGATGATGCGCTGTTTAACGTTTAGCACCATTCTGTGCCCCATCCCAAATATTTTTCGTCACATTCTAGAGCGGCGTTAAACACCTTGGTATGAGACCCTACCCTAAATCGGAAACAATTCTGTGTTGAATTCAACTAATCACAATACTCGTCTGCACCCTTCAACTTTTTTTTCTTATAACATTACACGTTAATTATATTAATTTAAATTATATTAATATAATTAATACAGGCGTGTTAATTATATTAATTTAAACACGCCTGAAACTCTTCCTCAAGCAAGTGGTTGCTGTCACGTATCTAAGCATGCTTCTGTTACCCAATTGTCTCTGCCCTAATTCCTATTGATCTCTTTGCTGTTTAGAGTACGTTTTCACGAAATTCTAAAAACACTTTTCCAGGCCAATTTTATTTTGGTCAGACTGTATATGCAGCTACATTGTCGAATTTTTAAGTATTTTCTGGTACTTTTTGTGATGTTAAGGAAACACCTTCGCATTGGAGATAGATTCTTTTTGTGATTCATCTCAAACTGCTTAAAGAGCAGCTACGTATGTGAAATTCCGTAGCTTTAGAACCGTAACTTTGGTAATCGCTAAGAACACAGTAGCTGTCTTAAAGAAATTAATCTTAAAAATAATGAAACTTTTACTGGAACTGGTTGTCGTGTGCATCTGAATACGTTACGTATTTTTCTCAGGCTAGGGCTACTTATGGGCTAATTCTGGCAATTCTCTGCACTTTATAAATATCTCACCATGACTATGGAAAGCGTTCGTACCAGTCGGTGTATGTGACATTCATAGTAAAACATCAAGATTTATGGCATCAGTCTTGGATCAGATATCCTGCAGACAAAATTACAAGTGGTATTAATGCGGAGGAGAATAGCACCAGATCTAATGCGGTTGCCTCAGAATTAAATAAACTGACCCAAAACGAAAGAACAAAGCATTTTGTTGAATGAATGTCGAATAGAAGATCGTGACTTTGAAGTTACTAACAATAACGAAACTTTAGAGACAGCTTTAAAACTTAAAACACGCTAGATAAAATAGGAACATGAGCAAATTAATCGGTAAAATTTCTCAATCCAATTATAATTCAAGGAAATAGGCAAACAAATCTTGAAAATGAATTGTCTTTCTTCTAAGATCTATAAATTGCAGCCTTTTGCCATTTGGTCTCCATATACGTATTCAAGAGGGTAAAAATATCATGCTTTCAGTGAAGATAAAGACAACTTGCTTTTTGAAAACGTAACATTATTTTAATTTTCTTAGCCTGACCAAGACATTACAACTGTGGAAAGCTAGTTGTGCAGTTTCCTTTATTTCCCAACAGCATAAGATGCCCTCCCAAGATGTTTGCCTTAGCCTTCTCAAGGATTTATATAAATATCAGCAGTTTCCCCATCCAAAGTCTTCTGTGAAGGTATACATTTCCTTAAAGCATGAGCCTAGAATGTTTTCAAAAAGAAAGATTTCTAAACTTTCCGACATCAATAATTTGATATTTTGTTTAGTGATAACTTTCATTTGCAAAAAGGTGATCCTATGGGTACTTCTGAGGGGCACTTGTTTGTTTACCTAGCTTCCATTAAACGGAAATGTCTGGCTGCATCATATATTCGTTTTTTTAGTCGTGTAATGTTATAAGCTTGTTTCCACACAGAATACCGTTAACGAATGCTTTACTTGTGAATCTTCACTGAACGTAAGGCATTGTAATACTTTATATGTTTATAACAGTCTTCGCGAATTTTAAACATTTGAGTTATTACTCAGATGAAAATTGAAAAAGGACAAGATTTTAAAATATAATAGTAATCCAATCCTTCATTTGTATTATACTGGTAAAGGATGAACGTTTACTGTAGAAAGAAGCATTTAAAAGTATTCTCAATTTAAGACTCTTTGACTACTCAAGTTTTTGGAAGAATTAGCACTTGTAAAAATTTACTTCTTATAGTCTTGTCGTTACGCTATGACTGTTTATGTTTTCCCCAACAACATTATGTGTTATTCTTAATGCACACTTATGCATATGTGAGATTTTAAGAAAATTGCATATTGCATAATGTACTTAAAATTTTAAATAAATCATGAATCTTGACTTGGCAAATGTTTTCTTTTGCAGTTACTTAAAAAGAATCCAGCTGAAAGAATGAGCATGGATGAAGTTTTGAATGATCCATGGTTGAAGAAAAATGGCTGCCAAAAATGAAATATTAACGGCTGGATTTGAGAAATTATTCATTGGTATGCAATGTATTTAAATCAGTTACCTAAATAGTGGTAGCATATTAAAATTTTATAATAGTTTACATGTGTAACATCTTTAGCTTTTATTTTCCACTGTATCTGGTATTAAATTAAAAAAGTATGTCAGAATGAACGAGATTATTAGAAGTTGTTAAATTCCAAAATTTGTTGGTTTAAACTAATTAACATTTCACTACTTTCGAAAGATCACTCAAAAACTTTTATAATAAATTTATCTATTCATGATGTCGAAATATTTATTCAGTTCCATTGAATACATATTTTCCTACTAGACATTTTATCACTGAAAGCAGTTTTGGTACGTTTATACCGGCTTCTTTCTTCAAAAGTAAATATTATTGTGTTTTCTCTATCACTAGCCTTTTTCGAATGTACGCTGACATCTGTTATGACACCAACACTCAAAATATACAACTTCCATATGTTACTGATATCACGCAGAACTGTAACAAGATTTACCAGCTAGATATCACTTAGATTCTTAAAATTTTAACACAATTTAAAGACTTGTTCCAAACGCTAGTACATAAATCGTGTTCTATATGCATGATCTAAATATTTGCATTTCAAAACTTAGTTGCATAAAAGTAACTTATTTAACTTTAAAATGTCAGCCAGCGGGAAAACATTTTGCCTTTAATTGACATCTGAAATTCGATGATAAATTGATTCTTTAAAGAAACTTTGTGCTACACTTTATTATGATTTCCTTTTAAGAAATTAAACAGAATTTTTGAAAAATATTTAGATCAAGGGAATGAATGCAAACTAAAAACAATTTTCAGTAAAATTGGTTTATAGTGATAAGGATAATTTTATGATAAATACTTGAAGAATATTTGATATTGCATATTCATTTTGTTTCCACGGTAAGATGTTGGACAATGGTGATACTTAAACTGAGTAATCAAAGCTTGTAACCGTTCTTCTATGAACACAAACACTCGCTAGCTCTAAAAGTATTTATTAACAGAGCACAGACACAGTTGCAAAGAAAATATACATCAAAATAGAACATACACCAAAACGGAACACGTAACATTTAGAATTAACATTCCAGTCACGGAGATATAATACTGTAGAACTTATCTTCATCACAGCTAAAAGTCAACTACCTATCAATTGTGCTCGTTCCCACTAGATGGCGTACGATAAAATAGGTTATATCCTCCTCCTCCAATTTCGTAGATGTGTCGGCAAGAAGTCAGGAATTGACATTTGTCTAGTTTGTGCAGTAGGTGGAAAAGAAGATAGACTTGAGTTTGACAAATAGCAGCTTTAGATCCAGGAGCACCGTTTGAAATCGACACAAGTTGGGTACGTAAGTTTTAGGCGTCTCGTTTTCTTCAAGGAAGCCACTGGAGTTACTCGACCTGAAGTCTGAAACTTTAAACTTATTTCGCTTTTGATCTGGTTTCAAAGCTGAAACATATTTGCGGAAATTCTTGTCAGGCTCTTTGGAATCGGCAGTATCAAAAGTTGTTGGAGATCTTGTAGTCACTATCACATAGGGACCGTCTCGCTTGAGTTTACTAGTTTTCTTTAGTGGGCGTTTGCTGACAGGGTCTCAAAGCGTTGAGCACAGAGGTTTTCACACAGTTCTATGATACCTTGTTTTAGAAGAGAATAGAGTTCCTCTTTCAACAGTTATTTCTTACTTTAGCTCATCCGATATGGAGAAACTGAAATAGGATTGTTTCCTGTGTTAATATGATGTTCAATGAATGTAATGGCTTCTCCCCCCTACTTTGAAGACAGTGTGATATTTGTTAGCAATGCATCAGTTTCATGCCATTGGGATGTATTTAACTGTTGTCTTTAATTTTCTAGTACTTAGCAATTGGTTTTTCTTCCAGTGATGTGCTGATGGGGTTCCACAAAGCTATATTTTCTTAGAGGTTCATCAGAAAAGCTTCAGTTCCTTTCAGCAAGATTTAACGCAACTTTAGCTTTTTGAAGAAAGTCAGTTCTTACCAAATTGGTATTATTTTTGGCATCGGGCAAAACAAGGCGCTGAGTTTTTTAACTCTCTGCCTTCAAGAAGACTATTTTGTTCGGTACGAAGTATCGCTCTTTCTCAGGTACCAAAACATCAAACCTGCAAGGAAAGACACCTGCAGTGTTTTCTTTTTATGTACTGCACCTCGTCGTTGCAGAATATGACAAAGTGGTTCACTTGCGATTGACTAGCACCGCTGTCAGCGAAGCAGTACCGTAAACACCTCCAATACTAATTCGGAATACAGCAGTCAGTGTGGTAGATAAACAGGATAGGATTTGTACAGTGCCAAACGCAGATGAGTTTGGGGGGGGAGGGTTATAGTCTGGAGACCTATTTTTAATAAAACCAGTCTTTCCGCTCTCACAGCATGTAAAAGGAGTTGCTATCTTTGCTACTCACCCTGATTTGGGAAAGGTTTTACTAGTTCTGTGTACATCAGTTTGATTTTCTACTTTTGTTTTGGATGCATTGGTCGCTTTGAAAGAATAGTTTCGCCGTAGAGGAGTTGATTTTTGTAGTTCGTATTTTTAACATCTTGGTAATTATTCATTTTCTGGACTATTTCAGGTGAACACTTTATCTTTCTCCAAGAATCAAAAAGTGTTTCTTAACATCATTACTGACTTTTCCTTTAAGCTGATCCTTAATTACCAAGTCTTTTGAGTGATTCAAAGTCTAACATCTAGGCTATGTCACCACTCTAACGAATAATTGCTTAATTCGTAAACGAAGTCTTTCCGTAAGGTCCTATTCTGTCTCTGATGTGGGCTAAGATTGATTCGAAGTGATTCTGCATTGAATTCTTCTGTCCTCATAAAATATTTCGTAAAATGCCTGTAGGCAGAAGGGATAAGAGGTAAGTCATATTATTTTTCTTTTACATCGACCTTTCTCACATCGTCTAATGTGCACGTAAGCTGCAATGTCCGAAGTTTCTGTAAACTTAGGCATTAGGAGTTGCTGCATTTGAAACAAAAGACCATAATTTGGGTTTGATCCAGCAGGTGCCAGGTTTAATTTTAAACGTTTAAAATCTAACATGTTTTGTTCTTTTCTTTTGGCTTTTTTTCTAGATCTTTGTTTTTACTATATTTTAGTTATCTAGTTTCGATTAGTTTCTGGACGATTCTTGGTAAAATCCTCATCATATGTATCAGCTTTGACGACAAGATGTTTCACATCTATTACTCGCATGGTATTGTTCACTTCGAAAGCCAATTCTGTAGACTGAGTTTTTAAATCTTTCGCGCCTTGGCCAGATAAGTCAATTGTATGAGGGATCAGAGGGGAGAGAAAAGATGAAGTTTAATTTTCTATTCTTTAGATTTAATTTATATTAAAATATTTTTACACTTGCACTATTTTCAAATTAATAATAACTGCACCTTTAAATGAAATGTTTATACCACTGCTAAACAACATTCATAAATGTAAACAACGTTACTTTCAGAGTTATCGTTTAAAACTGTTGACAGAAAATTAAAACTTTAAAATTATCATATCTTTACAAATATCTTACAAATACCCTTATAAATTCAAACTGTATCCATAAAAATTATTAATCACATATAATTTTCTAAAATATTCGTTTACTACTAATCAAAGCCTAAACAAATGTCTTATAAACTTTTATCGAACCTGAATTCTAATTTTAATCTTAGCAAAACGTTAAGCAATACTCGCAACAGTTACATATTCTTTGACGTTAGTTAAATATTCATTCATTCTATTTTAATTATGATTATTTTCTTTCATTTTAAGAAGTATGCTTCAAAACTTTCATTAAAGCAAATAAAACAATAGCGTTTTGTTAATGTATATGATAAACATCCACAGAAAATATTCTTCAAATTGTTCTTCTTTTGTATTTTACTTTCACTGCAACATTTATTTAATATTCAAAGGAAACGAATAAAATATAAACAAAGATTTGACGATAACACTTTATGAATCAACTAGTCTAGAATTCCGCGAGGGGGAGAGGAAAATCATCTGAAGCTCTTAGATTCTAATCAACAGTATCAGTGAATCTACTCAATTTATCAAGATATGCATTCACTTTGCTTATAGAAGCCATCATTTAATTTATTCTGAATATTTAAAACATTTTAAAATAACACATTAACTGCAGTTTAAAAGCAATATTTTTTTTAAAGAAGGCTGTTGGCTAATGCTTTTCCATAGTATATATAAATCTGAATTCAGTAATGGATTTGCATTTACTTTAAGAAGCAGTTCAGAACAATTTTAAATAAACAATTCAAAAAGAATTTTAAACTCGGACAATAATTTAAGAGATTTATCTTTATTTCCTTGAAATTTGTTAGTTTCCCATTCGATGTGCTAGCAGCACGACACGATAGCTTTGGTTTCCAAAATTTATTTTCACGAGAAGCCTACATCTGAAAAGAGATTGGCTTAATCTCCAGTAACCAAAACGTTAATTCGAGGGTAAGGGCTTTTTAAAGCCAAGCGAATTCTCAACATTTTGTTGGAAGCCATTATGTAACCGTTCTTCTATAAACACAAACGCCAGCTAGCTCTAAAAGTATTAACAAAGAACAGAAACACTTGCAAAGAAAATATGCATCAAAATAGAACACGCACAAAATAGAATACTTAACATTTAGAATTAACATTCCAGTTACGTTTTTTCGTGGCAGCTGGAAGTCGACTATCTGTCAATTGTTCTCGTTGCCACTATATTGAGTATTATAAAGTAGTTCGATTACATCCAAAAGCTCTGTTACAAGCTGTTTTTTAATATGTCATCTGCTAAATATCACCGTAAGGAATCTTTCTCAAAAATTATTTTAGGTGCAACTATCATGCAGTCCACATAAAGCTATGAAAGAAGCGAAACCTGTTGTGCCCTTCTTTAAGGCTTTTGCAGTCTATGAAACATGCACGGGCTGTAATACAGCGCCCCGAATGCCTCGAAGATAGGGGAAGACATGTGGCTTTACAGCTTACTTTATGTAGAGATCGCTGTTGAAGTTTCCCACAATCTGTACTAGATGACATCAACAAGTGTAGCCAATACCTCCCCACGCCATGATACGCCATTTGTGCGGTATGACGCTGGATAACACACTGAGAGAACAGATGGTACTTACGTATTAACGCAACCAGGCAAAAATTCGCATAAATCGCCAAATTTGGCGAGCCTACTTACGGCAACCCTACGTGTTATACGTAGTTTTTCGTAAAGAAATTATTTTTCTTACTGGTTAGATTGAATGCCCTGAAATACTTTAACTATGGGTATTTGGGATCTGCCTGGGAGTGAAAAAGATGCTGTTGAATTGTTGCAGGGATATGGAATTATACCGAACGAACGTACTTTGTAAAAATTCTCATAAAATGAAACTGTATTTTGGAAAGCAAATCTTCTGGAAATGTAACGTCGAAGAGTGCAATCAACATTTGGGTGTGAGAACCGGAAATTGGTTTGAAGGTAGCCAAATTTCATTTGTGACAGCGGTGCGCTTCATTTATTGTTGGTGTAAATAGTTAACCTCAATTAAATTTTGTGCAGAAGAGATGGGAATTTGCTGACAAAACTGTTATAGATTGGAATAATTACATGCGGGAGATATGTGCCCTTGAAATGGATGAAAAAGAAAGAAAGCAAATAGTCGGCGAAGGACTTATTGCGAAAATAGACGAAAGTTTATTTGTAAAAAGAAAAAATAACACTGGGCGTGTACTACCACAGCAATGGGTTTTCGGCGGAATTTGCCGAGAAAAGAGACTTTTTTTGGTTACTGTACCTAACAGAAGCGCCGTTACCCTCATGGAAAAAATTTGCGAAAATATCAAGGAAGGAAGCATCACTTATTCGGATTGCTGGAAAGGATACAATACAAGTGAGTTCGAAAATGCTGGATTTCTGCATGGAATTGTTAATCACAAATATAACTTTGTGGATCCCAACACGGGCGTTCACACACAACATGTAGAACGCATGTGGGGCTCAACCAAATGGCGCAACAAAAAACAGAGAGGAACAGCCCGTCATCATCTTGACTCGTACCTTATCGAATTTATATGGCGCGAAGCTCAAGCTGTTAATGACGAAGACGGTTTTCAATCAATGCTAAAAACAATAGCCAAAAGATTTCCGCCGAAAAAATAATTCTGCAACTTATTCAAATTCGAAACCGGAAGGGTTTAATTGCTATTTTATATTTTAAAACAAAATAATATATAAAACTATATTAAAAATTATCTGTATTTAATAAATGTACATTTTCTTTCTATTCATACTTTTTTACTCAAACTTGCAAATCGCGCCAACCTGGTTGCGATAATACGTAAGTAGCGAACAGATGTTCCCCTCTATAACTTCTGACGTATACTCTTTCATCGCTGTGCTCCAGGCTGCAGTGAAATTGTCGGAGAAAACTTGTTGCCACAGAGCACGTCACTCACTGCATTGCCGTGCCCATCGAAATCGGGGCATCTGTGCTTCAGCGACAGAGGAATCCTGCGTTGAAAAATCCTTGCACTCAATTCATGCTTTAGCCGACGGCAGCGAACCATGGAGCCAAACAAGACAACACTTGCAGCCGTGCTTCAACGTTGTGCTAACACACAAGAGCACGCTGTATGATGTACAGCCATGCGTATGAGGTATCTGTCGTCTCGTGCCGTTTAGCTACTGCGTGCCCTACTGCCAGCATTTCGCTTTATTTGACTTTCATCCGTCCATTTCTTTTAAACACTCATTACTATCATGGCATTACGCTGCGTGCGATTGCTCGATACGAAAGTCCACCCTCTCGCGTACCGACGATGCGGCCTCGTTCAAACTACATTAGTTGTTGGTCTGGCACCGTCCGTTGTTGACGTGGCATATTGACCACTAATTAAACGTTCACTGCAGAAGGCAAACAGATTTCAACGCAAATTTATATACATGGAACAAGTAGCAGGTTCTCCTTCCACACATGCACAATCGCCTTATAATTCTAAGCATTTGCATGTCTTACCTCATTTTACATGTCCTTTATATTTTGTTAAGTGTGGATAATTCCTTCATGGTGTTGCAATTTACACAGTGTGTATACTGCATACGTATACACACTAATATACACTTAAAGCTATGTCAAAATAAGGTTTTAGATAAAAATTTGACACTAAAATATTTTGAATACTCTTAATTTCATTAACGTTAGTGAATTCTTACGTTTTTAATTTGAGCAATATGGAAGGCATTCTGTGTGAATAGAAAAATTTAGTTTAACAAAAAAAGATAGAAATCTTGATTAAAATTCATGAAAACTATACTAATCGGGAAGTATAATATTTTGATTTTGTTTTATGTGAATTCACAAAACACTTGGCCACCATATAATTAGATATGTTTATGAGTTTGTAAAATACATAAAAATATTTTATGATATTCTTTAATCAGAAATTAGCTTTGCCTAATGATGTTTTATTAAAATAGTAGTTGCTTTTGTGTGAGTGTAGTTCCCATTTGTTAATTTTTAATTCAAAATTCTTTTCTTATTTCAGGTTATGCAAGAAAAAAGTTTAACGCTTATTCAGTTCATTTTAAATATAGGATATTTTATTTAACTGAAGACAGTTCGTAATTTTATATGTAAAGGGATTTTAAGTAATAAAATTTTATGAGGTCTAGACACGAATCTTGTTCAAATTTAAACAATTTTATGAGGTCTAGACACGAATCTTGTTCAAATTTAAACAATTTTATGAGGTCTAGACACGAATCTTGTTCAAATTTAAACAATTTTATACTACATAGCATATTACACAAAACTATATATATTTAATCCCTAGCTTCTCATAAGTTTTAGATTTCTCAAAATATTAAATTAGCTCAACATTCATGAGAAAAATGAAAAATGAACACTCTAACCAAGTCACACGACAGAATACCAAACTTAAGTTTATAAATTACATAAAATGACTAAAAGGAATTCGTATGAAAAAATATAAAGTGATTTGCATTTAATATGTTATTAAAATCTGCAATGTCTAGTTGTCTAACAAAAACATATATTTTGGATGAAGAAAATGAATAAATTTATATTTTTTACCTAGCATTACACTGTTGCTAATTTAACTGCAGAAAGTTCCATGTGTTTTAAAGAAACGTAAGATTCCTTTTTGACATTAGCAAATGTTCTACACAAGCACACTGCTACAAAAGTATGATGATGCAAATAGACTGTTGAGAGATAAAGAAACGTTCTTTGTTTAAAACCTTGTTGTCTGACTTGTCCTTCTTTATGTTTGGTTTTCACTGAAAAATATTTAAATTGAAAAAAGCGCTTTTCTTTTCCTAATGTTAATTTCGATGTAATCTGGATTAAATAAACCATAAATTTAATTCAATGGATGGAAGTTCTCTTCACTATTAAATATTTACATTCTCTTATGAAACGTGCTCTTCATTTTGTAATTGCACAAAAGTGATACAAGAAAACTTTCACATTAAAGAAAAACAGAAAAAAGTTCTTTCAACTTTAGAATGCGTACATAGTATCTTCTTTACCTCTTCTGCTCTCGTAGCGGCCTTGTCTACATTATTTTTCAGTTCTATCAGACAGCGTGCAGGGCCATCTGTCGATCGTGAAAAATGATATCCAACACTATTTTTTCGAAATAGTTTGCTTTTAAATTCAAGAAAAATCTTACTCGCATTTTAATTCTTCATCTCCTTATCCCAATCTGCATATGAAGTCAGACTGAAGTATATATTGTATCACTTTCAACTTATAAACATATCGCCGGAATTATTACACAAAAGTGTAATTTTGCCGGCTCTTTGAGAATGAAGCCTGAAACGCAAATGGAGATAGGTTTCCTGAAAAAGTATAGTTTTTAATTTAAATTTATCGTTGAACAAAATATAAATTATTATACGAAATTAAAGTAATATTCACTTGCAAAATTAATTACACTATAAGATGAATGAAAAAGAATGTAATATAGTAATTCGATATTTATCAATTTTTTGAACGAATAGTTTACCATAAATTAGTTAATTGTCTAAATTCCTTAGTCAGATAAAACAATTTTAATTGCAAAAATTGAAAGTATATACAGGTTGATACAAAAAAGAAATATCTGATGAATTTTCCTTATTCAACATTTTTGTACAAAGGTAAAACTGTTTTCTAGGTGATCCAGATCATTATTTTTATTATAGATATAACCGAAATGTAGTTTTTACATCGTATAAATATCTCAACTTCGAGCACATACGTAGAATATCATTTTAACCTCGATTACTCTAAATTTTTGAACTGTACGAATTTTTCTTTCAGTCGCTGAATTGCATACCTATGAAAACTAATGAAGTATAGTTATCTTAGTCTTATATCGGCTCACCAGGAGCCGAGCGGTAAAGTCTCTGAGCACTGGTAGTTCGGTCCGAGGTTCGAATCCCACGAACGGGCTGGCTGCATGGCTGTTTTCGAGTTTTTCCCTGTATGTAACGTGTATACGAGCCAGTTCCACTTATAAAGTCCTCCACGAAGGCATCCCTCCCCTTAAGCAGATAGCCCTCGAGGCTTTACCGTAATTAAATAACCTAACCCATCTTAGTCGTATGTGTAGAAAATATAGGAATTTTTATTTATTAATTGAATGAGAATATTTCGGATTGAATATGTAAAAAGCAAAGTTCCCATTTTAATGCTCAAATTCGCTGTGTTGTTCTATGCTTATCCTCAAGCAACAAGACAGATGTAAATGTGTTGGTTGCGATGAGATTGATATAAGTTTTACAAGATTCGTTTCTACGAATGACTTTGCTTATACCATCTTTTGAAATGACCATTCAGACCCACTGAGTGTGAAAACCCCTTTATGCAGATACCTTAGCTACTCTTGCCCTTTCTTGTCATTTCACAACTGATATAGGTTATTAGTAAATTAAAAAGAAGTCGTAACCTTTCGCATTTGTAGCTGCAGACAAATATTAACCTATTTCCAAAAATTAAAAAAAGCCAGTTTATACCGATATCGAAATTCATAAACTTTTCTTCCTGAGTTAGTACTACTAGTATATTTATTACGAGTATAGTTAAACTCGCATCGCACCTAAAAACGCTTAGCACTAAAGAACAAGGAACTAGTTTTTTGATCTGGAAGCAGTGCAGTTTCAGCCATGTTTATTAAACTATTAAGGGTAATATTTTCAATATGTTTAGATGTGGAGCTATTTTTCTTAAAATCGGTAATACGTTTTGAATTTCATCTTTTTAATATTTATGCATTAGCGCAACAATCTTCGCGCAGTTTGGCGAATTTGACGTATGAAAAAGAACGATTATTTTTATTATAGAAAATGATATATTACGTGCATACATATTCTAAGTTTCAACTTTTTATTCCAAAAGACAATGAGTAAATGTAGATACAAACGACTTTTTTTGTTGTGGAAATTTCGTAGCGATTGCTTTGAAAAAGAATTCGAAGCGAGCGATTTTGCAGCAAAATAACGTATTCCTGCAGAAATTTCACCTCTATTTCTTCTATTATACGAAATTCCTACCAATCAAAGATTTTTTAATTTCTTTATAAATGAATCAGTGTTTATAAGGTAGAATTTAATCCCAGAAAACATGAAGTTAAGAAAAATTAAAAATTTAAGGCTAAACCTCCACATTAAATTAAACTATTCGAAGTTCCTCTTAAGAATTGAAGCTAACTAAATTAATCGGTGACTTTATTTGGTTATAAATTCCGGTGCTTTTCAAATAAATATAAAAATATTTTTAACATTGAATGCTTTTTTTTTTACAAATACCAGTGATTTAAAAATACTCTTATGGGTTAAAAACACTCTTATATTTACTTTTTCATTGCTAATTTTATCTGCTGTCTCTTTTTTTTTCGAAAGTTTGAGATGAATTTCTCGGTAAAAAAATAAACCGTAGATCTTTAATTAAAAACGAGGCTTTTTTTCTCCGAGTTGTTCAAGGTTATTAAAGAATATTCTTGATTTTTCCGCTATTAGATATCCAGATTTTAAGTAAAATAATTTATAGACAATATTTTCAGGTTACAAATTAATGCATTAGAAGACCTCTTTCTGTCTTTTCTTCAATATCCAGCCTAACTGATGGTCGAGTAGTTAAGAACGCTAATTATTGGGAGTTTGGCTCGAATTTTACCTCAGGCGAAAGGGCGTGGCTTACATGCTTGTTTTTCTTGATTTTCCCTGCGTGAAACGTGAATACCAGCAAGTTTTTCTCAGAAAAATACTCCACGAAGTCATCATAGTTGATCAAAGATTATCTGCGATTGTCTTTTATCACAACCAAATAAATAAATTCTGCGTTTGAGGAAACACGTCAGATGCGTGAAAGAAACTTGCGATAGAAATAATTTAGCACTTTACAAACGTCGAAAATTGTAGAGAGAAGTAACGAAGAATTAACATAATTAATTAACTAAGTGTTGAAATCCAAAACTGTAGAAAAATTAACGAATTTTGCCAACATTTAAAACCTCTGGAATTCAAGAAACTATTTCAAGATTTGAAAAAAAAATATTGAATCCATCTGGGTTTTAGATCCATTTCACACAGCAATTAAAGTACAATCTTCAAATCTAGAAAACGAAAGGAAGCAGATATGAAGAGCTGGAAATTAAACACTGTTTCAAACTGCCTAAAATAACTTCACAGCAAATCTATGACAGATACCAAAAGTAGATGTCTCTCAGCGCCTTTTAGAGTGATAAGAGAGCGGAAGTGAACGTGTTCTGATGGCTGTTAGAAAGCGACTGTAATACTTTTTATATTTCAGATAAAACTTAAAGTACTTTACTCACACATTTAAGACTAGGAGACATGTTTTGGGTTTTGATTAAACTAATTCATTGTAGAAGAATATTCTGATAAATGAAATGCAATTTAACGTAACTCAAGGAATTTTTTTGGGGGGCCATCCAACACGTATGCAAATTGTAAAACATAGTAACCCAGATTTTACGCATTGATTAATTACATCAGTTAATCAATAATTGGAATTGCGCCTTATTATCTTCGCTATATCGACGGAATATGCGTAAAATTTTCCGAATTAATGAAAGGAATCACGTAAGATCACTTTCATTTTTGATGCAGACGCAAGCAGTATGTTCCCGTCGCGCTGGCAGTATATTTCTCTGCGCAGAGGAATTTGTGCAAGCACAGTCATCTGGAGGGGCTTATTGAGGAATATGTTGCCTCGTAAAGACATGGAATTATTACTTTGCCAAAAAAACTTTGTTGTTTGGAGATACCGGACCTCTAATGTTGTATTGTCAAAGAATGAAGAACAAGAAGGTAAAGAAAAAAAGAAAGAAACACTGCACTTTAGATTAGAGTCTAGTACCTTTATACATTTTCATCAGAAATGGAATGTTTAAAAGACAAAATATCATAAAATAACTAAATAAAAATATTATTTACCTGTTCCGTAATGTATGGTTTGAACAAGTTCAATCGATTGCGATAAAACTCCAAATATGCATATAGTTTATCAATTGCGCATTATTGTAATAAAATAACTATTTTAATTTATATCAGTTAGACACATAATCAAAAAGATACATACAATTTAAGTTATTCAGATGTGTGTTTGTTGCTTTTCAATAGCCAAGTTTAATCATTTAGAATAGATTAATTTAATTAAAAAAAAAAGGAAAAAAAAAAATCTGAAATGTTTCAGATTTTAAATTACGTCCAAAGGGGCGTTTTTTAACATTTTGTGTTACCTTTCTTTATTAAATATCATGTTCTTCGCACTTAAACCATAAGATCCAGTGCAACAGCAATATCGCAAAATAGTTTTAAAACGAGCATATCTTTAGAATTTCCGATACAGAGACTCACGCGCTGGAGATAAAAATGTTTTTTCTGCACAACGTTGCCATTGCTCGCTTTGAAATCCTTGAGTTTGCTAATCAAAAATTCGTCAAAGTTTTAAAAAATAGGAAATCGATCATAAAACAAATTTCAAATTTCAAATTTGGCCTTCCGCATGCTCATATTCGTTGGAGGATTACGTTATTCAAAATTCAATGACTCTATGTACCGTTATTTTATGGCAAAGTGAGAAATATACATTTACGCAGATTTTCATTATTTAATTTCTTCAAATATAATGCAGGACTCTAACATTTTATGGCAACAGTTTGAAAAGTGAACCGACATTTATCCGTCCGACGCAAAATGCCAAAACGAAACTAATAGTCCTTCGGGATTCAAATCCCTTTGGACTAATAAATAAAATAATTTTATGCGAATGGCATCACTCTCGTAATAATTTAAGCGAGTGGGAACAAATCTTGAACGGTGCTTGCGAGTGCAACTAATGATTTGTACAGTAGCA